TTTAATACTTGCAACTCTAAAAAACACATCCCAGACTGAAGGTCATATCTCAAGAACCATTATTATTTATTTATTATTATTTTTTTTTTAGTTCTGCCTGTGAGAGATATTGGGCTACACACTCTAAATTTATCAAAATTTTGGTGTTCTGAGAAAGAATGACCCAATATAAATTGCCTAATTATTTAATTTTACAAATTCAATTATTCTAGTAACACTGATATTAGATCTAAAATCATGTCTTACTAGAATCATATCATCATAAGTGCTGCCCCAATCCTATTTAGAAATTTCTTAACATCTAATCAAAATACAATTCTTGTATGGCCTTTCTTGAAATATCTCCTTTCTCTTCTTACCGGCAAAGATTACATCGTTTTTCAGGCTCCAGGGATTCACCACATCCGCCTTGGACCTCGCAATGAGACCCCATGATATGGCTTTTTGTCACTTTTATTGTCCAGTCATCATACAGAAATTCCGCTTCCCTTGGAGGGGGTAACTTTGGTTCTGCTGGACGTGACATTCTGCAAAAGATCTGTAGTTTAGATAAAAAGTGAAAATGAAAAACAAAGGGCTATTTGTAGGGAAGGAGGGGTGTCAGTTTTATTTTTGTCTGCTGGTAGAGAGGGAGAGGGAATAGTTTTAGTTTAGTCTGTTATTAGTCTATTGCTTTTTGTATGGGATAATGTAAATTCTTATCTTATGCTTACCAAGGCACTGAAAAACTGAAAAAAAGGCAGGAACATCAAGAAATTCTCCTATAACTGGTTCTCAGAGACAAGGGTACAAAGACTGGGGGAATGGTGGTGTGTTTGTGAGGGATACACAAGCTGTACCTTATGACAAGTCTTATTTCATATTCATTGCATGAATTAACACTTGTCAAAAGAGGTCCCATAAGGTGCTGTTATGACTGACAAAGATAAAAGGGGGACAAGGGGGTAGGGAAATAGAGGGTAATATTGAGGTAATGGAACTGGAGGAAAATTGCCATACAACAATAATATCAAGTAATTTTTGTCCGCCTTCATATGGTCAAATTGTTTATCATTATCTGCATCATTTGGGCAAATGTTAATAAAATGCCCATGCATGCTCCACTGCCATACATATCATATACAACTGTTAACCAATAATTCATGTGCCACATTCACTTGCATGTTGCTGGCTTCCCTTCATCCCTTTGGTATTCCAGGAAAGGCAACAAACCTACTCCTTATACATTTATACATATTCTGGAAATAGAGCTTACAGATCTCTCTAGCAATTTATCATCAAATAAAGGACTGTAGTAAGCAGGTCCCTTGCTTATGCCTGTTCACTAATAGTATTGAGGCTATTGTGTCAGTTTGATATTGCACTAATAATTCACTAATATTCTAAATAGCCTGTATAGAAAAAAATGAGAAAAAAAATCTGCTTTAGAAACAAAATGTGTGCATCTTTTAAACCTCTTTGATATGGGTGTCTTGCAGCCCATATGTGAACCAAAATCTGAGCAACAGGCTTAGGCTACTTTCACAGGTGTATGGCTTGTAGGCCCACAAAAACAATCTTCTTTGAAATTTGACATTGTCTTTTCTGCATGGTGGCCAGGAATAGGATCCTGAGCATGGAGATAGTGTCCTACCTAGCACCGGTGCTCTTCCAGCCATGGGTCATGGATGGTACACGTACTGGTGGAAATAATGCAAGATCCCCTTCCTATTCATTCAGCAATTGAACATTTTCTATTGTGTCAACATCTAAGATCATCATCAGCGTATTCAAAATATAGCAATAGAATGAGGCTTGGAGGCAAAGCCCCGGGTAAGAAGTTTTCTGGTTCACATGGAAAACTTTTTTGTGAAAAAACAAAAACATATATACAGTGATTGTCATTACTGACATTATTATTATCATATTGTTCTAAGTAATACCAAGAGCAACAGAAATAAAATTTTCTTTTAAAAAATTCAATGAACATAGTAAATATATAATAAATAGGATAGGTCTAGTAGCTTTAATCCCTTGTGACTATGGACTTGTGAAGTCATATACCTGCAAACAAAATTAATATACTAAATTCACAATGGATATGCCATGTATAGATGTGTCTCGGTACCTAAATTAAAAAGATAACTGAAGGGACTTTTTCTAGCACCTGTCTTAGCTTTATTCTATCTAAATTTATTTGAAACTTTTGATTTATGATAGATGGCCTACAATCTAAATCAAGATAATAATATAGGGACATGCAACCACCATGGTCCCTGTGCATCAAGTCCAGCAGAGGCGAAAAAAGCTCAACCACTTGTATTTTAGTAAGAAAGAGCTTGAACTGTTTCCTAAATTGAAGATATTATAGAGGCTTACAAGTTCTTTGCCCCTACAATATACAGGGCAGAGATCTGTTGCCTGTGACAGGTGTAGTAATGCTAATAAGATACAAGATATAAAATCCCATGACAAACTTTACAATTTAATATGTACATTTCAAGCTTTTGCACAAACAAAACTACATACTCTATATATGCAGAACGGGATATAGAAGAAAACTATGGTAAAGGTGCAAAAGGTAGCATTATCAGCCAGGCCACATAGCAGCATATGGATGCAGGCACTTTACTCTGCATTGTACATTAATGATACTGGAATACAGATGAACTTATTGACAAGTTGTAAATCTTTTAAATAATATTACTCTGGGCTCTGGTAACTTACAATACTTTAAGCTTATCTCTTTTCGGATATATAGATTTGTTTTTACCTCCATGCCCTCAGCAATCTAACAAAATGGCAACAAGTAACTATAATCTATATTCAGGCATAATAGAGCTCTAGACTACCCACAAATAAGGTGTCAGTCAAAGCTATTGCTGAGTACATATGGTATGGGTATATGGCTTCAGTGAAGCACCAATGGCACAGAGGTCCTGCCAATCACTGGGTTTAGCCTCAAGCAGCTGTATTTCTATGTTCTAGAAATAACAAAGCTTTTCAAAAATTACAGTAGGCCGAAGTGCAATTAACTCAATGGTGTATTTATGGAATAAATTTAAACTTCCTTATTTATGGCTCTTTGCATCCCGAGTTCCCAGGCAGTTGTACCACCTACTCTCCCCTTCAGTGGTCCAGTCCCTTCTATTCAGTATAAATCATGAAGGCCCTATCAAAGTAGCACTTTTTTCATCTGTTTTTGTGTGTCTATATCAGCTTTCCATATGGAAATGGACTGACCCTATCATATTACCAAAGCAGCAAACATAGTGCCCATGTAAACATTTTAATACATATCATGTTATTTTAAAGAAATATAATTATTTATATTGCATATAGTAATATTCTAGCATATCGACATATATTTACATTAATCTGTTCTATCTTATTCATCAATAAAAATCCATTTAGTTGTGCATAACCTCCAATGCACAAGATCAAGACAGAAATTAGTCAAATGGAAACAGTCACCATTGTCTTCAAATGGGACTGTAAGCATGCAATAATTGCAGGAAGACTCAAATTCTGACGGATATGGACAAAATGATAAGGCCTAGACAGAGAGGAATGGCAGCCTCTGCTCTTGTGCTTTGGCAACAGCAAACAAACCTCCATCACTTGTCATTTTGCAAGATTTATCCATCCACCTGCAATATCTCAAGTAATCGCTGAATATACGTGGTACAAGTTTGTTTCCCTGAAGCGCAAAAGATATTAGCCACTATGATGCCTCCCGCACCGTTAATATATCCTTTGCCTCTTAACCACATATTCAAATATAATACTTCAAGGCATGCACTTACATTCACGTGAAATTATTCACCTCATACCAAAAATTAGTCCAAAAGGCGAATCTACCACACCAATACCAACTAAAAACAAGTACCATATAGTAAACAAAAAGTTATAAGGTCAAAACTCTAATTTCCTTCAACAACAGAAGAATGGATAAAAGAATGGATAAAACAGAAAGGATAAAACAGAATGGATAAAACAGAATGGATAAAACCCTTAAAATACCCGTTAAAATAAGAGACAACGTTTCCTCACAGCATAATTACACCTTTTGTTTGTGAATTTGTATTGCTTGTAAACACACAGTCTTGAAGCAGCATTCCGTAATCGAGAATTCTCTTGGTAAAAAAATCCTAATTAGATATCTTATACGCAATAAAAAAAAAGACAGTATGATAAAAACAAATTAGATTTTAATAGTTTCTCCTACAAATACGGAATTACTAATGCGAATTCATACTAAGTAAATGCATTTAACTCGGAAAGTAAACCGTATTTAGTGCAGATCAATTTCGTCTGCTTGTGTCACAGCACGAGGTTTTACGTGAAGACGAGTGCGAGGAACTAAGATACCAAGATTTTAAGATACTAAGATGCTAAGATTTTAAGACACTAAGATTTTAAGATACCAAGATTTTAAGATACTAAGATGCTAAGATTTTAAGATACTAAGATTTTAAGATACCAAGATTTTAAGATACTAAGATTTCTAAGATACTAAGATTTTTAAGATACTAAGATTTTTAAGATACTGAGATACTAAGATTTTAAGATGCTAAGATTTTAAGATACTGAGATACTAAGATTTCAAGATACTAAGATGCTAAGCTTTTAAAATGCTAAGATACAAAGATTTTAACATGCTAAGATACTAAGATTTTAAAATACTAAGATTCTATGATTTTAATATAGTGAGACATTAAGATCCCGAAATTTTAAGATACGAAGATACGGAGATATTAAAATACTAAGATACTAAAATACCAAGATTTTAAGATGCGAAGGAACTAAGATATTAAGATTTTAAGACATTAAGATACTAAGATTTTAAGAAACTAAGATACCAAGCTTTTAAGATGCTAAGCTTTAAAGATACTAACATTTTAAGACACTAAGCTGCAAATAATTTAAAGTGCTAAGATTTCAAGATACTAAGATACTAGGAGTAAATTTTCATAATGACAAATATAAAAAGGATGGTAAGGGAATAAAGATGATCATGACAGTACTTGGAGCATGTGTCTAATGTGTCGGTCCATCTTGATTTCCGTTAAACGCTAGAAAACAAAACCAAATGACGTAGAACGTACTGCAGGTGGTCGGGGATCGTTCTGAGAGTATACTAAACTAAAGAAAGCTTCTCGTCGACCACGCGCTGCGCAGTGCTCGGAAAAAAAAAGAAAAAAAAAAAAAAAACGAAAAAGAAACGATATGCATTTTGCTATTTGAGGTAGTTTGTGTCATTGCGTGCGCACACACGCACACGCACACACACACACACACACACACACACACACACACACACACACACACACACACACACACACACACACACACACACACACACAATCCTCCGTATCCACTCATTGCGCCTCTCCCTCCGTATGTATATAAACACACAATTGAGTGTGTGTGTGTGTGTGTGTGTGTGTGTGTGTGTGTGTGTGTGCGTGTGTGTGTGCGCGCGCGTGTGTGTGTGTGTGTGTGTGTGTGAGAGAGAGAGAGAGAGAGAGAGAGAGAGAGAGAGAGAGAGAGAGAGAGAGAGAGAGAGAGAGAGAGAGAGAGAGAGTGAGAGTGAGTGAGTGAGTGTGTATGCATACATACACATATCGAAGGTAAGGCGCACTAATGAGTATAGAATAGGTGGCATTTAAGAGTAAGAGGAGCACTGCTATTACTATTACAACTACAGCAACTAGTGATTATAAGGATAATGATAGTGATAATGGTGGTAATAATAACAGCAATATTAATAGTAATTGCAGTATTAATGGTATTATGAATAATAACAAAGATAACGATAGTTATGGTAGTACTACTACCAATACCATTTATGATAATAATATTAATAATAATATTAGTAATAATAATAATAATTATTATTATAATTATAAAACATTAATAACGACGATAATATGATAATAATAATGAAAACAGGTTAAAAGAAAATAGTAAGAACATGGCAATGAAAATAACGACAGTAATATAAGAAAAAACTAATGACATTATTAATGCTGTTATTATTGTCATAATTATTATTGCTCTTATCATTTTAGCTATTATTATTATTATTATAAGTATCATTGTTGTTACTGTTGTTATTATCATCATCTTCATGATCATCATCATTATCTTTATTATCATTGTTATTATTAATATCATTATCCTTATTCGTATTGTTATTATTGTCATTATCATTATCATTATTATCATCATTATTATTATCATTATCATTATCATTATTATCATCATTATTATTCGTATTGTTATTATTATCGTTATCATTATTATCATCATTATTATTGTTATTATTATCAATATTATTATCATTATTATTATCATTATTAGTATCATCATCCTTTCCATTATCATCATTATCATTATTATCATCATCAATATCCTTATTATTATCGTTATCATTATCTTTATCATTATTATTATCATTGTTATTATTATCGTCGTCATTATTATTGTCATCATTATCGTCATTATTATTATCATCATTATCGTCATTATTATTATCATCATTATCGTCATTATTATTATCATCATTATCGTCATCATTATTATTATTATTATCAGCATTATTTCTTTATATTTCTTGTCAATATTATTGTTATTACTATTATCATCATTATCATTGTTGTTGTTTTTATCATTATTATTATCGTTATTATCATCATTATTATTATCATTATTATCATCATTATCGTCATTATTATTATCATTATTATCATTATTATCGTCATTATTATTATCATCATTATCGTCATTATTATTATCATTATTATTATCATTATTATCATCATTATCGTCATTATTATTATCATTATTATCATCATTATTATTATCATCATTATCGTCATTATTATTATCATCATTATCGTCATTATTATTATCATCATTATCGTCATTATTATTATCATTATTATCATCATTATCATTATTAGCATCATCATCGTCATCGTTATTATCATTATTATCATCATTATCGTCATTATTATTATCATCATTATCGTCATTATTATTATCATCATTATCGTCATTATTATTATCATTATTATCATCATTATCGTCATTATTATTATCATCATTATCATCATTATTATTATCATCATTATCATCATTATTATTATCATCATTATCATTATTATCATCATTATCGTCATTATTATTATCATCATTATCATCATTATTATTATCATCATTATCGTCATTATTATTATCATTATTATCATCATTATCGTCATTATTATTATCATTATTATTATCATTATTATCATCATTATCGTCATTATTATTATCATCATTATCGTCATTATTATTATCATTATTATCATCATTATCGTCATTATTATTATCATCATTATCGTCATTATTATTATCATTATTATCATCATTATCGTCATTATTATTATCATCATTATCGTCATTATTATTATCATCATTATTATTATCATTATTATCATCATTATCGTCATTATTATTATCATCATTATCGTCATTATTATTATCATCATTATCGTCATTATTATTATCATCATTATCGTCATTATTATTATCATTATTATCATCATTATCGTCATTATTATTATCATCATTATCGTCATTATTATTATCATCATTATCGTCATTATTATTATCATTATTATCATCATTATCATTATTATCATCATTATCGTCATTATTATTATCATCATTATCGTCATTATTATTATTAGCATTATCTTTATTATTATTAACATCATTATCGTCATTATTATTATCATTGTTATCATCATTATCGTCATTATTATTATCATCATTATCGTCATTATTATTATCATTATTATCATCATTATCGTCATTATTATTATCATCATTATCGTCATTATTATTATCATCATTATCGTCATTATTATTATCATTATTATCATCATTATCGTCATTATTATTATCATCATTATCGTCATTATTATTATCATCATTATCGTCATTATTATTATCATCATTATCGTCATTATTATTATCATTATTATCATCATTATCGTCATTATTATTATCATCATTATCGTCATTATTATTATCATCATTATCGTCATTATTATTATCATCATTATCGTCATTATTATTATCATCATTATCGTCATTATTATTATCATCATTATCGTCATTATTATTATCATTATTATCATCATTATCGTCATTATTATTATCATCATTATCGTCATTATTATTATCATTATTATCATCATTATCGTCATTATTATTATCATTATTATCATCATTATCGTCATTATTATTATCATCATTATCGTCATTATTATTATCATCATTATCGTCATTATTATTATCATCATTATCGTCATTATTATTATCATCATTATCGTCATTATTATTATCATCATTATCGTCATTATTATTATCATCATTATCGTCATTATTATTATCATCATTATCGTCATTATTATTATCATTATTATCATCATTATCGTCATTATTATTATCATCATTATCGTCATTATTATTATCATCATTATCGTCATTATTATTATCATCATTATCGTCATTATTATTATCATCATTATCGTCATTATTATTATCATCATTATCGTCATTATTATTATCATTATTATCATCATTATCGTCATTATTATTATCATCATTATCGTCATTATTATTATCATTATTATCATCATTATCATTATTATCATCATTATCGTCATTATTATTATCATCATTATTATTATCATCATTATCGTCATTGTTAATATACTTTGTCTGTCAAATGTATTAAGGATGGAAAAGTTATTCGCAGAAATGTGTGTCAATGAATATGGTTTGGGGAGGGAGCTTTTTGTTCGCTAAATACACTCGTATAGCAGCCACGTGATATGCAAGGAGGGTGTGGAAAAGAGCTTACAAGGGGGAAGCTCAGTGTGCAGACTGTCGCGAGTGGCATCGCTTGAGTGTCTCCGCTGACTATGGCTGGACGTCGACGATCGCCCAGGGTGCAGCAGGGAGGAAGTGCGTGGACAGGAAGCATTCAGCAGGAACTCATAGAAAAACTATGGGTGGCAATCTTGACTTTCGATTCCTCCTCTTCCTCATCTGCTGAGGCTGCTTCCCAGCCGGAAGCTAAGCGTGAGGAGACGGAAAGTGATGATAGTAGTGAAAGTGACGAGGATGACGAGGATATTGATCTTAGTGACGGCGATGGTGGGTATGCTCTGGTCAACCGTTGCGACCTCTTTTCCGTGGCTGCACGTCAGATGCAAGAAAATAAGGAGAAGGCGGCGTTAGATTCCAAGAATGATAACGTAGACCAGAATCTCAACAAAAACACAGAAGCGGAAGCCACAATGTCGACTTCACTACAAGTGGACGAGAAAATCGATCGCCCTCTTTCCCGTCCTATTTCGCTCAGTCTTAGAAATGTTTCTTCCAAACCGAGTAAAATTCCTCAATTGTCCCCGTTATCACCTACCATTTCATTAACATCAGGTGGAGGAGCGACGGCGTCTGAGTCAAGCGACGTTTTTAGTCCAAAAGGTCAATCGCTAACAGCAATGGCTTCGAGCAAAAAATTCACATCTAAAATCCCACTTAGTCCCTCCTTAAGAAGAAAAATGTTACAACCGCGGGAGAGGCTGGCTTCTGACCCGACGCCAAAGAGACTGACCGTTAAAGCTCAAACCAATGACATCGCTGCGACTTCCCGACGGTCACTAACTCCAGATCCGAAACCTTTCAAGCAACGACCGCGTACCATAAATACGCATAAGGCAGTAGACATGGCAGGAGCTACAGGAGGGAGAGAAAATGGCTGTAAGATTTCTCGAACAGGCACTGACTGGAGGAAGAACAAAAGCAGCAAAACAGACGGTCATAAAATAGGTTCTTTGAATATTTCACGAAACAGTTTTAAGGGAAAAATAGAATCCGATAAGAACAGCAAAATTAAACACACACGCGAAGGAGGAAGTACCTCGAATGCACAGAAGCCTGTTCAAGAAGCAAAGTC